TAACACTAGATTAGATACGAGCTAAAACATAGGTAACACTAGATTAGATACGAGCTGAAACATAGGTAACACTAGATTAGATACGAGCTAAAACATAGGTAACACTACTAAACACACACACGCACGCACACACGCATGCACGCACACACACACGCGCACACGTACACACACGCACGCACGCACGCATGCGCACACTTCACATGACCGATAACAGATGTCGCGCCACCGATGTACTCACAAGTTCTTGTACTTGATGAAGAATTCCTCGACCTCCTCCCACTCCTCCTCCTCCTCATTCTCCTTCTCGGCTCCTCCTCCCTTGTCGCCACTCTCCGCTGGCTTCTCCACCGTCTTCTCGGGAGCGCTCTCAGCCACCTTCTCCCCCTCTTCCTCGGCCGCCACGGGCGTCGGCGGTGGCTCTTCCTTCGGGGTCTCCGTCTCCGCGGCAGCAGCATCCTCCACGACTGGCTTCTCCTCAGCTTCCGCAGTCGCACGCTCAGCATCCCCCATCTCGATGTCAACGTCTACCGATTCGTCGACCTTCTCTAGCTGGTGCATGACGTGCTGCTCCTTCACGACCTCCTCCTTCTGCAGACAGCCACACGAGGAGAGAAGCCAACATTACACATGCGGGTAGAAAAGCCAACATTACATACATCCTCCTCCTGGACACCAAACAAAAGGGCATCAAATTCTGTGGCGAACTCGGTGACGGAGATTAGCAAGAAACGGCGGCGGAAATAGAAAGTCAAAGTTCAAGAGTAATCAGGAGTAATCAAAATTCGAATCGTGCATGCTTTGGTGGCATTAAGGTTCTAAGACATGTTATCAATACTCTAGAGACAGTTGCTGTTTTCAGGAGAAATTTGATTTCCAGCCCTATTCTTCAGGATGAGAGAAGGAACTAACTGAGAGACAGTTGCTGTTACTCAAACAATAACGCTAATTATCGTAAAAGTGGGGGAAAACACGAGATTGCACGATGCACGCACGACGCGCGCACGATGCACCCACGATGCACTCACGATGCACGCGCGATGCACGCGCACGCTGCACTCACGACGCATGCGCACGATGCACTCACGATGCACGCGCACGATGCACTCACGATGCACGCATGATGCACGTACGCTGCACGCACGACGCATGTGCACGATGCACGCGCGATGCACGCACCTGTATCTCTGGCTCCGGTGGCGGAGGATTCAGCTTCTTCCGTCTCCCGATCCTCACCGCGAGAATCTTGTCCACAATGCCAGCAGCCTCATCATCTGCTGCCTGTAATACGCACACAAACACACACACGGTCAGGCCACAATTAAAAAAATCTTTGTTTGCCCTCACCCGACCCAGGCTGAAAAGTTTGGGTAGGTAGGTCGGCTTTTTTTTTAGGGCGGGGGTCTTTTTACAAATTCAGCACCGTGTCTACATGCTCGGATGTGCTTGTGTGGAGATACCTTTTATGTTGAATGTTAGTTTTGCTTGGTACATATAATGTATTGCTATGATACAATTTGTTTAAAAATAAATCAATACATTTTTTTGAGTCGCCCCCTTTTTGGCGGGTCGGTCGGGTGAGGGCAAACAAACAATAATTTTATTATGGCCTCACACTAAACACTGTAAACATCTCTCATTCAAGTCACAGGATGCCGAACAACACATCACGCGAAAAACACGCATTCGCAAACATTAACAAGAGCCGCAGAGCGTCTGGGCTCATCTGAGGTCTGTTGCTACGATTATAAACGTAAAATTTCAGTCGTGCGTAGTACCACATTTGTTAGGCGCAGATATGCAGACGCAGTTGCGTACACATCATTTGTTAGGACACGTCCCACTATCGGCAGATGGAGGGGTAGGGGGGGGGTGGTGGGAGGGGTTGTAGGAGAGGTGGGGGAAGGAGCGGTGGGAGGGTGGTGGGGAGGGAAGGCGGGGAGGGTGGGGGAGGGCTCTAATAGCAAAGCAGTTCACTCCTTTGTTAAACAGTCAACAAATCCACATGTTTAAACCGCTCTTGAGGCGTCAAAAGGTTATCGACACTTACTCTTCGCATGTCAGCCAGAAGGGACATTTCATGGTCCGTTTCAATAAGCCATTAAAAAATTGCTAGGTCACCGCCTGAAACAAAAAAGTTTTTCAATCGCTCCGTTCAGACCATGTCCTCAGAAAGTCTAAAATCTGCCCTGTGCCCCATTGACCTTTGACCTGTGACCTCAATTTTCAGCACAGTGGATGGCTTTTCCTACCATGATGTATACACGACTATCACGAGCTCCTAGGTCGAGCCGTTTAGATTTGTGCCAGCAATTCTGATTTCCTCCTATAACTTAGCTTAAGGAATGAATGTTCCCCTTCTTTTTGCACCTCTTCACCTTTGACCTTTTGACCCCAGCTTCGTACATCCCAACTCGTCTTTGACGAATTCCCCCCCAAACGACCCGAATATCGTGACGCTACGTCGAGCGGTTTTAAGATTTGTGCCCAACTGTTGACGGACGGACGGCCAACGGAACGGTTAACTGGACGATCCGGAGGTAACGCGACGATCATGCGATTCACAAAGAACTGCATCTGCACTTTTTATGTTCAGTATGAGCTAAAAACAGAAGATAGAAACCATGAATCTGTCAAATTAAAAACATCAGTAGAATAGATCCCGTCACTCCATCTGTAAGTTTAATATCGTCGTACCTTGGGGGTGCGGCGCCGGACATTTTCACTTCAACTATTTTATTTTGAATCGTGGACGACGATATCCAACGACACATGACATTTCTGACATTGCGCCCCAGGGCTGCACTGCAGTATTTTTTCGAGTGTGCACAAACCATTATGCGCACGCACACTGACAACGGCTGGAGTAACATTGTGCTGTTTAAGGTTTACCGACCTCACAACACAACAGTTAACGTGCTAACAGCGCAACAGTGTTAGGCCCGTTTAAAATTGACTACGTCACCAATTTTCTATGCGCTTTAAAATTTCATGTAAAATTAGTTTGTTGCCATTTTTTTACATTAAAGTAGAATAACTGCGACAACTAAACGTATCGTGAAATTCTTACCCGATAAGATTGTTTCTCAACTAGTTAAAAATTAGGGTTCGCCGTTTTAACGTTTATCAACATAGCTAACCAAGTCGCCGCTTAAGAGCGTCTGACGTGATTGTTTGTCGTTGCCGTTGACGACACGCGCTCACTCACCACAAAGTACTGCATCGGCTTGACAGCGTCGGCCATGTTGACGTGCGCGTCTGCTTTTCTCGGTTTCCGCTCCTCGTCCGATAGTCCATACTCTACCTCATCGTTGTACTTCTTACGCTTCGTCACGCGGCTTGACCGGCGCTTCTGCGGGCGACAACCAACAGGGGGCGCTTAGCACAGCAGCGAGATCGGCACTCGCAGGACGGGGTCGGCGCTTAGCAGCAGCTGCAGAATCAGCACGCAACAGGGCGGCGCTTTAGCATCTATATGCTGCCGAGAATCCGCCGCAGACAGGGGCGCGCTGTAGCACAGTCAGCTGAGAATCGGACGCGAACAGGGCGCTAGTCCAGCAGCGAGAATCGCACGCGAACAGGGGGCCTTAGCACAGCAGCGAGAATCAGCACGCAGACAGGGGGCCGGCTTAGCACAGCAGCGAGATATCGGCACGCAGACAGGGGGCGGCTTTAACACCGCCCCCCTGCAGCGAGATCAGCACGCAGACAGGGGGCCTTAGCCACAGCATGCGAGTTAATCAGTCACGCAGATCAGGGCGCCTTATGCACAGCTCCGAGAATCGGCACGCAGACAGGGGGGCGCTTTAGCACAGCAGCGAGAATCAGCACGCAGACAGTCGGGAGCGGCTTTAGCACAGCCCAGCGAGAATCAGCACGCAGACAGGGGGCGCTTAGCACAGCAGCGAGAATCGGCACGCAGACAGGGGGCGCTTAGCACAGCAGCGAGAATCAGCACGCAGACAGGGGGCGCTTAGCACAGCAGCGAGAATCAGCACGCGACAGCGGGGCGCTTAGCCACCGCAGCGAGAATCGGCACGCAGACAGGGGGCTTTAGCACAGCAGCGAGAATCGGGACACGCAGACGGGGGCCCGCTTAGCACACCGCGAGAATCAGCACGCAAGACAGGGGGCGTTAGCCACAGCAGCGAGATCAGCACGCAGACAGGGGCGCGCTTAGCACAGCTGCGAGAATCGGCACGCAGACAGGGGGCGCTCAGGGTGGCGGTGAGAATCGGTTGCAATTTCACACGGACAGGGGGTGCTCAGGGTGTTGGCGATAATCGGTTGCAATTTCACACGGACAGGGGGCGCTTAGCGCGGCGGAAACTACAATTGTCTGCTTTTAACAATCGAAACATTCGACCTACACAAATTTATCGTGGTGCTAATTGAGTGACATTTCTGGGGCCCGTTGTCAGAAACAAAATTAGTCTTAACATTAGTCTTAACATTAACAATTTCTCCTAGACGTCGTGCATACTTTTGTTTCGTATTTGTTATGAGGAAATCTGCTACGATTTTTCTTTCTCGTCTTCGCATTTCGTTTCTGTCAACGGTCTAAGAGAAAACGTTAATGTTAAGGACTAATGTTAAGATAAATTTTGTTTCTGACAACGGGCCCCTGGGTAGGAGCATAACTGATCTCGATTAATCAACTCATAGGAAGGAAAATTTCACAGGAAACGCCCTTCCTCCTCCTGTTATCAAGATCAACTATGGATCTTTGCCACTTGCGCGTTTCGGCACTTCCTTACCAAGATTAAAAACCATCATGAAACGTAGTCATGCCACAAGCATCAGGTATCATCTCAGTCATGCTACAACTGTAACGCACCTACACCTTACGTACACAGTACACGCAACATCTTAGTACAACCCCTCTCTCCCCAGTAACAGCCTAGTCACGCTACAACCCCTCTCTAGCCGCACCATACCTCTATGTACACTTCGTCTCCATCTTTCGGAGACGGAGGCGGCGTCTTGATATCTCCGTCCGAACCCTCGTCGCCGGACGAGCCAAGCCGCCGTCGCTTTTCTTCTTTTCCAAACACCTTCATTCAACCTCGTCAACAACACGCAACACTTACTTATCACCTAGTCAACAATACAGCAACACTTACATCAACCTGTCAACACACAGCCAACATTACATAACTTGTCAACAACACAGCAACAGCTTACATCAACTGTCAACACACAGCAACACTTAACGATCAACCTGTCATACAATACAGCAACCCATCTTTCATCAACTGTCAACAACACAGCAACACTTACATCAACCTGTCAACAATACAGCAACACTTACATTAACCTGTCAACAAGTACGCCAACCACTTACATCAACTTCCGGATGTCAACAAACCACAGCAACACTTACAATCAACCTGTTCAACAACACAGCACACTTACGCATCAACTGTTCTAACACACAGCAACACTTACATCAACCTGTCAACAATACAGCAACACTTACATCAACCTGTCAGACAATCAGCAACACTTTTACATCAACCTGTCTACATTACAGCAACACTTACATCAACCTGTCAACACACAGCAACATTACATCAACTGTCAACAATGAGCAACACTTACATCAACCTGTTCAACAACACAGCAACACTTACATCAACATGTCAACAACACAGCAACACTTACATCAACCTGTCAACAACACTAGAAACTAGGGTAGGAGTCAAATTTTTGGGGCAAGATAAATATTGATTTTGGATTCACCAGAGCTAATCCTACAGTTCCAAATTGGAGGGGCGCAGACTAACATTTTTTTTCAAAAAGTGTATCAAGGCACTTTTACTTTTTGGCGTTGGGACAGCCGCCTGCACACAAACCTACGTGCAATTAACGAAAACTCATCACGGGCACATCAGGCAGGGGCACCGCCAAGCTGTTTGTTTTTTTGCCGCCTGGTTGAAAATTCTAGCCCTGAGCGCAGTTCGCTAAAACATGCGGTCTCACCACACAGCATCACGCGTAACCGTGGCGATCTGCCGCCGGTGCGCCGCGGTGAAACGGGAGCCTGTTCACCTCATTCCCCCGCCCAACCACACACACAGCATCACGTCAATCACGCACACGCACCACACCCTCGCGCCTTGCGCACGTCCAACACAGACACACCAACACGCACACGCTGATATTCTTCCCACTCGCATTCAAACATTTTTATCATAGAAACTTTATATGACAAGTGTTATTAATAGACACAACACGCACACCCAAACACACACACACACACACATAGCATAGAGCCACGTCAACAACAGATTTGTCTCAACGTAAGCTTCCCCCGTGCAGGGAACCTTCTGAAACAAAAAAGCTTTCCTTTTCGATCTCCGACGTGAGAGGCGCGGGCAAGGGGAGTTGGAACAGGTCACAGGCTGTGTGTACATCGGCGCGCGTGCGTGCAATGGCTAGTCGAGTGTGTGCGACATACATTTCTGCATGGTTGCTTGTTGGCGCGCAATGTGCAGAATGGCGCGCATTGCCATGCGCGTGTACTGCGGTGACATGAGTGTGTGCATGTGTGGTGTGCGTGCTGTGCGTGTGTGCTCACCTGCTTGGCCATAGAAAACATTCGATCCTGGTGTTTGGGTGCTGCTGTGTTGTTGACATTGTTGATGAGGTGCTGCTGTAGTTTGTTGACATGTTGATGCAGGATTGTTGCTGTGTTGTTGAACATTGATGCATTGTTGACATGTTGATGCAGGTGCTGCCGTGTTGTGACATTGATGACATTGTTGACATGTTGATGCAGGTGCTGCTGTGTTGTTTTGACATTGATGACAATTGTTGACATGTTGGATGCAGTCTGCTGCCGTCGTTGTTACATGTTGATCTTGTTTGACATGGTTGATGCAGCCGGTGTTGCTGTGTTGTTGACATTGATGCATTGCTTGACATGTTGATGCATGTCGTGTTGCTGATGTTGTTGACATGTTTGATGCGGTGCTGCTGTGTTGTGTGACATGATTGTTGATGCAGGTGCTGCTGCTGTTGTTGAGACGATAGTTGATGCGGCTTGCTGCTGCGTAGTGTTGAGCGATGTTGATGGCAGCGTGCTTGCGTGTGTTGACCATGTTGGATTGCAAGGTGCTGTGCGTTGTTAGACATGAGGTGTTGCGATGCAGGTGTTGCTGTGTTTGTTGCTTCGATTGCATGCAGGTGCTGCCTGTGTATTTGTGACATGATGTTTGATGCATGGTGTTGCTGTGTTGTTTGACATTGATGCATTGTTGACATGTTTGATGCAGGGTGCTGCTGCGTTGGTTGACATGATGTTGATGCAGGTGTTGCTGCTCATACGTGCGAACGCGTGACGCGGGCGTGAAAGCACTTACGACGTGGTCCCGCGACGCTTCGACGCTGATGAGACAAACATCTGCTTCGGCTCGGCTGGCTTCTTCACCACCGGCTCCTTTCTTCTTCTTCTTCTTCTTCGGCTCCTTGGTTTCCTTCGGAGGCTTTGGCCTCCTTTTCCTTTACCTTCTTCTCCTTCTTGGGTTTCGATTCCTTATTTTCGGAAGAAGGAGGAAGAAACTTTTTAACCGTCTAGTTGCAGTCTATCGGTCTAATACAGTCCATGGAAACCACAAAGACCTATAAGAAACCACAGAGAGGTGGGAGGAGTGTGGATTGGTATCTGTTCAACAAAGCGTTCAAACGGAAGTTGGTCTCCTTTACAAGGCGTTTCCCTACGTTGCGCAAACGGTGCGCCGGCCCGCCTCGTTTGGGCAAAACTCCCCCCGTTTCAATCGTTGCGCCCCGTTTGATTACTCCGCCCGCATTAAAATTCCACCACAATAAAAGTAGTTGACAGCCGCGGGATCGACCTGTCAAGAGATTTCCGATTCGACCAGGACCACCGACGCGTTCTACTCGTACCGTTTACACGCATGCACTGCAGCCTACACAAAATACAAACAGTTAACCTGTACCAAACACAACATTAACTGTAAACGGACTCGGGCTATCATTTATATATACAAGAACCCCAAATACCGTTCTATGGTGTGGTGGTGATTTTACGCGATTAATTAAGTGGGATACGGTAAAAAAACACGCTCCCCGCCCCTAGTTTCTCCTCCCTTCTCCCCCCTCCCTTCCCATGTTTCAATTTCTATCCTGGGGAGAACCCGTGCTTTAATATACAGGTGTTTGCTCTACAGATGGGCGATCCGATGGAAGGGATTCCGACTACAGCATTGTGGCAGCGTGAGCACACGGCACGTATCAATACGCAGTCCGAATCAAAATTAAATGACACCGCGTGACAACANGCACGCATGCAGCACGTCACGCCACTAGGCACGCACGCGCATGCAGACACTCACGCACCTAGGCACGCAACGCATGCAGACACTCACGCACGCAGTAACGTCACGCATGCAGACACTTCACGCAGCAGTAACGCACGCCATGCAGACCTTCACGCAACGCATAACGCACGCATGCAGAGCACTCACGCCACCTAGGCACGCCGCATGCATGGCATTCACGCCTAGCGCCACGCATGCATGCAGACACTTCACGCACGCAAGCCATCGCTTGGCAGGGCCACTCACAGCACTTAAGCACGCATGCATGCAGACACTCACGGCACTGCAGTAACGCCGCATGACAGACACTCACACACCTTAGGCCAAGCACGCATGCAGGGCATTCACGCACCTAGCGGCAATGCCACGCATGCAGCAATCACGCACTGGCACGCATCGCCTTGCAGGGACTCACGCACCTAGGCCACGCACGGCATGCAGGACACTCACGCCCGCCACCATAAGGCACGCATGCATAGCAGACACTTCGCGCCACGCAAGCACGCTTGCAGGGCATTCACCACCTAGGCAAGCACGCATGCACGACACTACACGACCTATGCGCAAGCACGCCATGCAGGACACTCACGCACCTAGGCAAGCACGCATGCATGGGGGCATTCCGCCACCTAGGCAAGCCGCATGCAGACACTCACGCCACCTAGGCACGCACGCTTGCAGGCACTGCACTGCACCTAGGCAAGCACGCATGCCGACACTCACGCACCTAGGGCCACTGCACGCTTGCAGGCACTCACGCATCCTAGGCACGCACGGCATGCAGACACTCACGCCTAGGCAATGCACGCATTGCAGACACTCACCACGAGAGGCACCGCTTGCAGGACTTCACGCACCTGAGGCCACGCACGCATTGCAGGCACTCACGCACCTAGGCACACACTGCATGCAGGCACTCATCGCCACTGAGGCACACATGCATGCAGAACACTCACGCCGACGGCAAGCACGCTTGCAGCACTACACGCACCTAGGCCACGCCGCTTGCAGACACTCACGCACCTAGGGAACAGCACGGCATGCAGGCATTCACGCCACCTTAGGCACCCCCATGCCATGCAAGACAACTCATCGCACGCAAAGCATGCTTGCACTTGCAGTACACTTCACGCACGCCAAGCCGCTTGCAGGACTCACGCACCTAGGCACGCACGCCATGCAGACCACTCACGCCACCGTAGGCACGCATGCATGCAGACACTCACGCACGCAAGCACGCCTCTGCAGGCACTCACGCACTTAGGCACTGCACGCCATGCAGGCATTGCATCGCCACCTAGGCACGCATGCATGCAGACACTCACGCAAACGCAGCACGCTTGCATGCAGACACTCACGCACGCAAGCACGCATGCAGGCACTCCACGCACCTAGGGCACGGCAACGCCAGTATAACGTACTCAGGCACGCACGCAGCGCAAAGCACGCACTGCAGGCACTCCCACGCCACCTAGGCACGCACGCTAGTAAACGCACTCAGCACGGCACGGCACGCAAGCACGCATGCAGGCACTCGCGCACCTAGGCCCACGCACGCATGCAGACAGGTCACGCACGCACTCACACACCTAGGCCCACACTTAGTAACGCCAGCGCCCAGGTAGACGCACTCAGGCACGCACGCACGCAAGCGACGCATGCAGGCACTTCGCGCACCTAGGCACGCACGCATGCAGCAGTCACGCAACGCACTCACATCACTAGGCACGCACGCGTAACGCACTCAGGCACCACTCAACGATCTTAGGCATGCACGCATGCAGACAGTCAACGGCACCACTCAGCACACCTAGCACAGCAGTTAACGCACTCGGGCAACGCACGCTATGCAGACAACGTACGTACATGCATGCACGGTGATTAGTAGGAATTGAGTGTTATGTTGTTTGTGAGCTAGAGAAGATCGCAGCAGCGCAGCAGCCAGCTCTGTCCCCGGTCCACTCCAAGCAGCGACAAGCAGCAGCAAGCCGGCCGCCACCTCTCGTCAGCAGGTCTCTGTACAACCATATCCAGCAGCCAGCAGCAACACCTGGTCAGCAGGCCATTGATGGCAGATTCAGCCCACGCAGCAGCACGGTCAGCGAAAAACACATACCTGTCCTGATGATGCGACGGGTGGCGCCAGCCGGTCTGCCCGACACTGTCCCAGGGGTAGACCACTTACACTTTGAACAAGGGGAGCTGCAACGACTCGCCCTTTGTCCTTATGAAAGAAGGGGGGGGGGGACGTCCGGCCAAGCAAAATGGAGGAGGCAGGTCCGCACAGTCTGAAATTCCAAATCCTGACAAACAGATATCCTAACAATCTTAATCACGCATGGTGCTTGTATTTTACAAGATTCCATGCGGGGTGCACGGGTCTGGCCATCTTCTTTTGGACATTGCTGGAAAAACATGGTAATCCTTGGGGTTGACCGTGCTCTGAGAACCCACACTTAGCGTTAGATATAGCAGAATTTTCAGGGAGCCCACGGACTCGCTGCAAGTATGTCAATCAAGGGAGTCTAACTCAGTCAAATCAGGAGCTATTGACTCGGACTCAATTTTGCACCCTGGCCGTCCCGGTCCCGATGAGTCATCACGTTTACCTGTCACCGCGAGGAGACAGACGAGAGAGCGAGAGGGGGGGGTAGCGAGAAGAAGCCAGAAAGGGAGGAATAAAGTGAGGAGGACGAGTGAGAGAGCGAGGCGGAGGAAAAAGCCAGAAGGGGGAATAAGATGAGCAGCGAGTGACGAGAACGAAGGGGAGGAAGAAAGCCAGAAAGGGAGATAAGTGAGAGCGGAGTGATGAGAGGAAGGGGCGCCCAGCGACAGCCAACAGGGAGGTAAGAACAGCCAGAAAAGGGAGGAATAAGTGAGATGCGATGTGAGAGAGCGAAAGGGAGGAAGAAGGTTTCAGAAAGGAGGAATAAGTGAGAGCGAGTGAGAGAGCGAAGGTGAGGAAGAAAGTCAGAAAGGGAGGAATAAGTGAGAGCGAGTGAGAGAGCGAGGGGGAGGAGGAAAGCCAGAAAGGAGGAATAAGTGAGAGCGAAGCGGGAGGAGGAAGCCAGAAAGGGAGGCAATACGAGTGAGAGCGACCGTGAGAGAGCGAAGGGGATGAGGAAATGCCAGAAAGGGAGGAATAAGTAAGAGCGAAGGGGTTAGGGAGGAAAGGCCAGAAAGGGAGAGAATAAGATGGAGATGCGAGTGAGGGAGCGAAGGCGTGCGAAGAAAGCTCAGAAGGTAGGAAATAAGTAACAGAGGAAGGGAGGAGGAAAGCCAGAAGGAGGAATAATGAGAGCGAGTGAGGGAGCGGAAGGGGGGAAAGAAATCCACGAAAGGGAGGAATAAGTCAGAGCGGATAGGGGCAGGAGAAAGCCGAAGCAGAGGCAATAATGAGAGCGAGGAAGAGAGCGGACGGGGGAGGAGAATAAGTGAGACGGGGGAGGAGGAAAGCCAGAAAGGGAGGAATAAGTGAGAGCGAGTGAGAGAGCGAGGGGGAGGAGGAAAGCCAGAAAGGGAGGAATAAGTGAGAGCGAGTGGGAGGAGGAAAGCCAGAAAGGGAGGAATAAGTGAGAGCGAGTGAGAGAGCGAAGGTGAGGAAGAAAGTCAGAAAGGGAGGAATAAGTGAGAGAGCGAAGGAGGAAGAAAGCCAGAAAGGGAGGAATAAGTGAGAGCGAGTGAGAGAGCGAGGGGGAGGAGGAAAGCCAGAAAGGGAGGAATAAGTGACGATGAGGAGGGAGAGAAGAAAGCCAGAAAGGGAGGAATAAGTCGGATGAGCGAGTGAGAGAGCGCAGGGAGGAACGCGAAAGCCAGAAAGGGAGGAATAAGTGAGAGCGAGTGGGAGGAGGAAAGCCAGAAAGGGAGGAATAAGTGAGAGCGAGTGGGAGGAGGAAAGCCAGAAAGGGAGGAATAACGTGCACCGAGCGCGAGTCGCGAGGATTAGGTGCAAATACAGGTGCGCTGTTTCTACGGGATCGCGAGAGAAGCAATTGAAGTAAATATTTACGAGTACTTGTAAAACTGATCCTGTGACGCATAACTTGTTGTAATACTCGGAAGGGTGAGGCGCGTTGCGCTACGGGATAGATACGGTAGCTAGTGAAGGCAAGTTGAATGCCCGCCCGACCGTGATCGTCGGGTGTGTCGTGTGCAGTGTAAAGCAGTCGCAGGGGTAGAAATAAGCAGAAAGAAAGAGACGTCCACAGGACCACTAGGTTTGAATTTAAGATTCCTCTAAATTTCAAATTGTTCTCTAAAGTAATGCGCCCGTGCAAAGTTGAGTGCGTGAGTGTCTGCATGCGTGCGTTACTGCGTGCGTGAGTGCCCGCAAGCGTGCTCGCGTGCGTGAGTGTCTGCATGCGTGCGTTACAGCGTGCATGCTTGCGTGCGTGCTCTTACATCTTTGTGCATATGCTTGCATGTCTGCGTTCGTGCGTGCGTGCGTGCATGCGCTTGCATGTTTGTGCGTATGTGTGATTATGCGTGTTCATGCATCTGCACGTGTACGAGTTGCGGGCATGACGCAAGCACGCATTCCACGAATGTAGTAAACGACAATTTAGCAAGCAGGACACCCTGCAAATAGGATGTACTTATGCAAACACGCAGACCCCGTAAAAACCGCTCACCTGGCCGGCCGGCGCTGCAGCGGCGGCGCCCCCTGGCTGCTGTCGCTGCAGGTTGTGCTGCAGCTGGGCGGCTAGCGTCTTCACGCGCGTCGACAGCTCATCGATCTTCGGCTGGTCGGGCGTTGTCGCGCCCCGCAGCTGCTGTATCTGCTGCCGCAACTGCTGAATCTCGCGCGCTATGTTCTGGTTGACGTTCCGCAGGTCGGCGCCCCCGGGCGGCGTGGCTGCGGCAGCCGGCGCCCCCTTCCCGGGGGTCACCGTAATGACGAGAGTCGTGAGCTGCGACGCGCCGCCGCCACCGCCGGCCGTCAACGCTGGCGCCACCTTCGCGGCGTTCATTTGAGTATAGGTGGCGGTCGGCGGCGGCGGAGCGGACGACGGCTGCACGATCGTCAGGAACGGGTTCGGAGCCGCGCCGCGCGCCCCGCCCGGCGCCACCATCTGCTCCAGCTGCTGCAGGCTCCCGCCGCCCGCCCCCGCCGCTCCCTGAGACTGCGGGTGGGGCGCGTAGGCGGCTGGCGGGGGCGGCGTGAGACCGCCGGCGGCGCACGGCGGCGGCGTCGTCATCGGCGGCGGCGTCGGACGGTGCAGCGGCGACGCCGGCGATGGCCGATTCGGCGACAGGTACCCCTGCGGGGCGCGCTGCTGCTGCGACGAGTACTGCGGCTGCAGCTGGTGGTGCGGTGAGGTATTCGGGTTTTGCATAGGTGACATCGGCTGGTAGACACCTGAGTTGGACGCGGCGAGCTGGCCGGCTGGAGCGTACGCCGGCTGCTGCTGCTGCGAGCCGGCGGCGTACATCTGTCCGCTCGGCGTGCGATTGCGGCCACCAGGGCTCGCCATCTGCGGCGGCAGCAGGTTCGACTGCGGCGACTGGACGTAGATTCCCCCGCCCGCACCCTGCTGCTGCTGCTGCTGCATGTACTGGTACTGCTGCTGGCTGACTGCCGGGCGAGCGTAGTCGCACTGCGGCGCGTATCCGCTCACCGCCTGCCCCGCCGCGCTGCTCGGCTGCGGCATCTGCCCGTTAGGGGGCGCCGCCGGCCACTGCTGCGGCGGGGCGATGTGCGGGCCGGGCGAGCCCATGCGCTGCGGGCTGCCCACGCGGGCCGCCTGTATCGCGTACGCCGGCTGCGGGCTGCCCACGACGCTCGCCTGCGACCAGTAGCCGCTGCCGCCGCCCGCCTGCATGCCGTTCGACAGGCAAGGGGCGCCACTGCCGCTGCCGCTCGTCGCATTCGGGGCACTGTACACGGCCTCCTGGTCGATGTGGTGGAGCTTCGGCGGAGTCACGTATGTGCTGCTTGGCAGACGCGCCGCTGCCGCCGCCGACGCCATCTGGGGGTAACCCAACGCGCGCGGCGGCCCGTTCATCACCTGCTGCTGCTGCATCATCGGGCCGCGCATCATGCGCTGGTTGCCGGGCATCCGTGGCGCCATGGCAATGGCCGGCTGCTGCTGCATCACCATGCCAGGCTGCTGCTGTTGCTGTGGGTAACCGGCGCCCATGACCATCTGCTGCTGCGGCGTGCGCATGTACTGCTGCTGCGGTGGCGCCACCTGCTGCTGCTGCATCGGGACATTCTGTGGCGCCATCTGCATGCCGACTGACATGGGCTGCTGCTGCTGCATGCTGCCCGCCTGTATTCCGACCTGGTCATAGGCGCCCTGTGGAACACGAGAGAGAGACGGCCACATGAGCAAACATCGTATCTGTGCTGGCGGACTCTACAGCACTTGACGTGTGTACAATCTCACTCGCAGCTACTACACTCAGCAATCTCACTCACGCGTGTTTGCAAACAACTAATACGAATCTAGATTGATCGGCGATATCCGACGACAACAGCTGGTCTGTATGTATATACAGGTTTCGTCTGCTGCTGTACACAAACACACGGAAGCAGCCTTAGCTTGTACTACCCCGCGAGTTAATACACCTGCTCTGACAGCATTCACATTCGAACATCACCTAGTTTCTTTTTGTTTTATTCTTTTTTTTTATTTCCTTCACTCATCCATACAAACTAAATAGAGACTAGATAGATAAATGTTATGTAATGAATATAATGGGTGGAGGTTTTAATAAAATATGAGAGAGAGAGCGAGAGAAAGAGATAGAGAGAGAGAAAAAAAGAAATAGAGAGAGAGAGAGAGAAGAAGAAAGCGAGGATGAGAGCAGAGGAGAGCGAGAGCGAGAGCGAGAGCGGGGAGAGAGCGAGAGACAGAGAGAGCAGAGAGAAGAGAGAGAGAGCGAAGAGGAGACGAGAGAGAAGATGAGAGAGAGACGAGAGAGCAGAGAAGAGAGAGAGAGAGAAGAGAGAGAGAGAGGGGAGAGAGAGAGAGAGAGAAAGAGAGAGAGAGAGAGAGAGAGAGAAGAGAGAGAGAGAGAGAGAGAGAGGAGAGAGAGAGCGAGAGAGAGAGGGAGAGAGAGAGAGAGAAAGATGAAGAGAGAGAGAGAGAGAGAGAGAGAGAGAGAGAGAGAGAGAGAGAGAGAGAGAGAGAGAAGAGAGAGAGAGAGAGAGAGAGAGAGAGAAGAGAGAGGAGAGAGAGGAGAGAGAGAGAGAGAGAGAGAGAGGAGAGAGAGGAGAGAGGAGAGAGAGAGAGACGAGAGAGAGAGAGAGACTGAGAGAGAGAGAGAGAGAGGAGAGAGAGGAGAGAGAAGAGAGAGAGATGGAGAGAGAAGATGAGAGAGAGAGAGAGAGAGAGAGAGAGAGGAGGAGAGAAGAGAGAGAGAGAGAGAGAGAGAGAGAGAGAGAAAGAGAGAGAGAGAGCACCTAGTTTCTGCCGCACGCACCTGTACGACATGACATATTCCAACTCGGAAAAAAAAGACGATCAATTCGCAATGCCACATATCGCTAAAATGCGCATTTCTCTTTGCCTCGTTCACACAAGACAATACGCGATGACATCTACCTTTTTGTTCTTCGCAACAAAACACAAAAATGACAGATACATGTTGGAAATAGCACTCCCACCCCCACCCCCACCCCCTTCTCTACAGGACTTGGCTAATACGCCTGGCTCTAGGGGGGAAGGGGGGGGTGTTCGTGTACATGACTCTTTTAGAGCAAAACCTTATATTTTCTCATTCCTTATGGTAAGACTCGCCACAAAAGTTTGGGTAACACCTCTAGGTCAAGTACGTTTTTAGTATAGGTTACACAGTAGAAATTAGGATGTTTGAAACGAGGTGCGGCCGGGGTTTTCGGAAGCACTTCCAACACTGAGCGTTACCTGCCAGGGTTTATTCTGAGGGGAAATTAGACAAAGGAGGTAATGGCCAGCTCGGGAAAAAACACGCATGATGGATTCAAAGGCGTGCTGTAGGAACGCATGTGGACGCTGCAGGCGGACGCAGTGAGAGAGAGGGAGAGGGGGAACTCAAAAACAAAATTTAAAAAATTTGTATGTCTTAGACTGCATTTGAATATTTTCACAACGCCGATGGTAAATTTGACAACGGCGGTGCGCCACTGTGCCTTTTATGTATATAAGAAACCCTACCTGCATGTTGTAGTCATGGTCCAAGGCCTCGAGGCTCTCTGCAATGTCGTCGCTGAACAAGCTCTGTAGGAGGGAGCCCTCTGACGACATGGCTAACGAGCCTGCTAACGAGCGCGCGTGACCGGCGCACGGGTAGTGCTCTGTGGCTGCTCTGCGTTGTTGTCAACACGCGTGTTCTGGTGTCGTCTCGACGCGGCGCGCGTTGTCATCTAGACGTGTGCTTCTGCGACTGCATTCTGTAACGACAATCACGCCGCGCCTACGTGAGCGGATGCTGGGGGTCTAACGATGCTCGTCAGAGCACATCTTTTACTTACAGGTACCCAAACAAACATCCAAACAAACAACATCCAACCAAACAACATCCAACCAAACAAACAAACAACCAAACAAATAAACCAAAAAACAGGTACAAATACAAACAAAAATTAGTTACAAGAACAAAACAAACATCAATGTTGCATTTATAATGGGAAATTTTATCGTCATTTCCTTTGAATGACAGTTCCGAATTGACACCACCTCATTAGGATAGATGTGTTCAATAAAGAACACTTGAAGTTTCCCCTGAATGAGCCCTTATATACCAGTTACACTGTAGCATTAGAAGTCTGAGACCTGGCACACAAGATTCATCAAAGATAAAGTTGCTAAGCATTTATCTATCTCCTAATTACATTTACAGCTGGGTGTAATAAAGCCAACAGAGTGTCCTAGGTATTAGGCACACCACAATTCCTGCACAACACTGCAGCAGTCATATCATTCAGTGAGCTACTGATCAAAGCTCTTACAACAGAGACACGCTTCCTTTAACACCGCATACTAATTCTCTCGCCAAATACGCATGTCAAATTGTTTTCAAATATCTCGTTTTTTCGCATAAACAAAACACACGGTATAATAATGTATGCGTGCGTGTGTGTGTGTGTGCGTGTGCGTGTGCGTGTGCGTGTGCGTGCGTGTGTATAACATCTCCATAGATGTGTTTTTAAATGGAACTGATTAGAACACTACCACACGCGCATGCATGCACGCACACACATACTCACGCACGCACACGCACACACACACACACACACACTTGTGTTACTGCCATTAATTTTGGGACGCAAACAAAACGTCTCCGGCGTGTTACTCTTGCTCAAACACGACTGTCAATACAATGATTTAACCAAAAGTGCGCAACTGATTTAAACCTTAGCGCCAGCGTTCGAAATTGGTGCCGACCCGGAAGCGAAATTTTTCCCCCCACTTGAGTTCCGGACCACAGCCAATCAGCGCACTCCATTCACTCGACTTCCTCGAAGCAACAATGTAAAATGAATACCACCTATCCCTAACCCTAACACTAACTATAATCCAACCATATATATAAGAACCATATATTACAAAACACTATCTATGGTGGGTCCGGAACTCAAGTGGGGAAAAAAATTCGCGACCCGGAGGCCACCAAGTTTTTGCTCTGGCCACCATCTCTACAAAACTGCCGGTCCTCATGACCGGCACTTTTCCCCCTCATATTATGCTGAAATATTACGGTTATTGCAACGGCGTTTAGACAGACTTATAAACGGGAGCGTATTCTAATGCGCTCCGTTTCTGACGGGGTATCCAAAAAGTATCCATGTAGTCCTCAACTCATGATTCGCCATACGAACAAAAACTCGCGACCGTCTAAGAAATCGATTGCGGCCTGCCGCATGTAGCGTAGCCGAGTGTTTTTATCACTGTTTTTATGCGTAACGCATAATAATAAGTTCCTATGTCGTGACTGAATTCGTTACTTTTATTTACGTAGAAAGTGGACTATTTTTATTCAGTTAGATATCTAGAAGCAATGTAAACTGTATATATATAATATACTTAAAGATTCTAGGCAGTTTTAACTTTGAGGATGTGCGGCAACATTGATCTACGCATGGTGGTACCGAGGACTGGGGGAGGAGAAAAACAAAAGTAAAAACTTTCCCAGAAACTCCCCCGACATTCCTAGAGCTTGAAATATATTATTTGACCAACTCTACGTGGTAAGTCAAGTTAGTTTGGCTACCGCAGGCACATCCCTGGTCTATGTGTATTGTGTTATTCGGCCACCCAAGTGCTACACTAATAAAGTATAATATAATAATAATGTATGCTTATATGTATGCTATGTATTTTTATATATACCATTTTGTTACTCACTGGTAGTAAATAAGCGGACCACCAACTTTTGTGCAGGACCACCGACTTTCTGAAGTTGGTGGTCCCGCTGTCCACTAGATTTTCAGCCGAAATTCGAACCCTGCTTAGCGCATCAAAAGCTCATGCAGAAATACACAAATAATAATACAGCCGGCAAGACCATACAAATGTAAGCGACCAGATCTCTAACTTGTTCACTTTCATGATCTATTTATACACATAAAACCTTTCCCCTCCTCCACGATTTTTGTTCAAGTGAATACAGCAGGCGCATCCGAGCTACCGTGATGAGCCCATGGATCGGATCCCCTAAACACCACACAGCATGAGTATTAACATTACATTACACCCCCCACCCACGCCGCGCCAACGTGCCACCCCCGACCAACACCTGCAAGGACGGCACAAAGCACCCGAGGGCGCGTTCCATAGAGATGCAAGAGAGAGAGAGAGAAAAAGAGAGAGAAAGAGAGAGAAAGAGAGAGAGAGAGAAAGAGAGAGAGAGAGAGAGAGAGAGAGAGAGAGAGAGAGACCGAGAATGCACTACCGAGAAAAAAGAAACAGAAAAGAGAGAGAGAGAGGCAGAAGAGAGAGAGCAGAGAGAGAGAAGAGCCGGAGCACAAAGAAAGAGACGAGAGAGTAAGCAGAGAGACCACGCGAAGAGCAGAGAGACGAGAGAAGTCCAGAGAGAGAGCAGAGAGAGCAGAGAGCAGCAGACGAGAGAGAGATAGGATGAGAAGAGCAGAGGGATGAGAGGCACTAAGACAAGAGAGAGAGAGAGAGAGAGAAGAGAGAGAGAGAGAGAGCAGAAGAAGAGCAACAGAGAGAAGAAGAGATGAAGAGATAGAGAGAGAGAGAGAGAGAGAGAGAGAGAGAGAGAGAGAGAGACCACGCGCGAGAGCTCGAGCATCAAAAGACAGGCACGAGTCGCTGTAATTGCCGTTCATGCATGACTAATCTTGCGGCGGCAGACGCCGCCCCGGCGATGCGAGAGCTCAAACGCGCGCGCGCTCGAGCTCACTCGCTCGTCTGCTCGTCCGACACTTAATGGCAGCCACCGCAAATTACAAAGAGAGCGGCAAGGAAAATCCATAAAACGTTGCATCACACCCCCCTCCATGTTGTTCCGCCTGCGTTACCGCCTCGCGACCACGAAATCGCTCACACCTACGCATTCAAATTGATCTCCCGACGCCGAGAGTCGGGCGTTATCGCGTCTCCTGTGAGCGCACGCCGAGGGACCATCCCTGCGCATGACACGACTGGGCTTAAGATAAATTATTGCTTGTTTCCCCTTTACCGGCCGACTCGCCAAAACGGCGCTACTCGACACATTTTATTGGCCGATTAAAACAAAACAAAACAAAAATTATTTTGTTTCGCAAAAAAATAAAAAATCTAATTCGTTCCGCAAAAACATATAGGTACACAAAACATTTAACAGAATATACAATATACATACACACATCTTGTCAAAATAAAATAAAAAAAAGATTTTTCACCTACCTACTTACTCGGTACCTTGAGAGGCGAGTAGGTAAAGGGGAAACAAACAATTTTTTAAGGGTGGCCCTGGAGTAACGACCCACGCCTGCCAGACCCATAGCATTAGGACCCCACTAAGCGAACACCCTTCACCATGATACAGTATGTGCTATGAGAAATCTGTGGAATGATAGCGCTACCTGTTCTTGGACGGAAAGATTATGTCCTGAGAATCTGAGAGACCACACTAGGGGTCGAATTTCAATTTGTTGTAGGAAAAAAGCAAGTTGACGGGGTGGAAAAAAATGTTTCATTTAATAAAAAAAAATTTTTAAGGCACCACACCACGCTGAGGAGAAAACATTTCCTTCGGTGAAAGGTTATCAAGGCCAGTTACATTATAATGCTTTTCATATATGGAACAATGAAGGATACATATATATGCTACATAGGATTCATGGGAAGGCAGGGCTTGATGTCGAACCAAGTTGGGAAGCCATAGAATTCTCTTTTGCACGTGTATATGCACCAGGCATGGGATCAGTCACGTAGTACTAACATATAACCTGAGAATTAAAACCTGTACGCAAAGATCACCATAAGAAAGTGCCTAAAGTATCATTTAGAGACATGTGTCCATTCCATACGTGTCTACTAACACAGGCTTGACTGTACTTATATATTTTTAATTATATTCATAGTATTGATAAGTATGACCATAGCCATTATTCAATACTGCACACAGTGCACAATACATTTATCTGAAAAGTGAATCGGTGAAACACTCGCCATGGTGACAACAACACATGACGCCAACAAACTTTCGCCTTTACCATTTATGGAGAATGCCACACGCTTTTATAATACAACTACCATGCTTGTAGTAAGTACACCTATAATAAGGTTTGTTATGTGGAGATACGACTTTCAGGTAGTCCACAGCAGTCAACGATCACCGTATAATAACAACACGGCGAGAGACATGGGCCGCATGAGCAAAACGCACGCGCTCCTCTGCAGATGCCCTTTCTCACTGAGGGAATCAGGAATGCTTGGAGAATTCCCACATTGACATCACACGATCATAAAATGTTGATCTGACACAACAATGTAACCACTAGCTAAGAATTGGCTGCTACCAATGTTATTCATACTCATAGGCAGGGGTCGAAATTAGCGGTATCCCGATATCCGCGGGATAGTAGATTCTTGTGTTGGATACCAGATTTCAATGCTTGGTATCCCGCCCGAATAGTAAAAAAAATCGTCAAAATCGGGATAGTGGTTGTTGAGTTATCAACTTTATACGGCAGCGCATCTGAGCGAGTGCTCGTAGAGCGAGTGCGTGCGATCTGAGCGGGCTCAGGCACCCTACGCCTGTATTACGCCACACTATCGTTATACAGCAGGCATAGCATAATTGCAAGATATTGTTGCAAGAAGCCGATCATAAATGTGATGTGTATACATTGTATACATGTGTATACAGCGAACCAGACAATGCGTTTAGACAATACGTCTGCAGTGTACTGTGGAGGCGTATGTAAAATGAACGCGAGCGATGAGAATTTTGAAGGCAAACAATTGTTGAAATTACTATCCAAAAAATGGGATACCAGATCTTTGGGGGGGATACCAGATTTCAATACCTGGTATCCCGAATGGATACCATAATACAAATTTAATTTCGACCCCTGATAGCACCCACACATTTAAGCGAATCTACGAGTGACGCTAAGGTACAACAGACCCCCTTGCAGCTCACCAAGAAAGCCATGGGCTTGAGACCGTGGCGACTTTGTTGCCTGGAGCTACTACACAGCGCTCCGGATCAATACTCAGTCAATGATGCCGCTAAGGCTTGTTGTCACGAAGGTAAGAAGGTAGCAAGCACCCCCCCCCCCCATCTTGATAGAGATGCACGTAACACTCCTGCCAAGGGATTTGATCTCGCCACAGTATATTAGCAGCATAGCTAGAGTGCGGCTATACAACAAGTGGAGGAGGTAGTCTCTTTCCTGCCACTAACCTCCATCTCAATGGCAGATTGGAAAAAAAAGCCAATATGTCGCACCGGATTTCCAACATTAACAGACGTTCAACAAATAAAATTCATGCATTCATGTGCAGCATGAAGTAACCTTGACCTAGGACCTATGACATTGTGACCTATGACGTCAACTAGGCTTACTCTTACCTAATCACAGTGACACAGGATGTATGATGATTGCACAACAACAAATTTAATTTCACGTCCGCTGTACACTCGTTTCGAGGAAGTCCCTTCCGTCTTAAAGCGGATAATGACGACAATAAATACCCGCACTACACTGACGAGTGAGCCTACACTTGAACAACCATCCCCCTGACGAGCACTGCACGTCGCACAACAAACACAAGAGCAGTCATAGCCGATAACCCAAAGGTAAGTTGTCTACTACGTACAGGGTTTCTTATTCATAAGAGGCACAGTGGCGCACCACCGTTGTCAAATTTAACATCTGCCATTGTGAAAATGTTCCTGTATTTACTGATAAGTATATCCTGTGTCTATGTACCTATAGATAAGTATATCAATACATCCTGTATTTGAATCCATCATTTTTTTCCCTCCTTTGTCTAACTTTCCCTCAGAAGAAACCCTGTACTATATGTATAATACAATTATTTATTTGTAAATCCTGTCCAAGCTCCAGGAGTTGCAAAGATATCAGGAGTAGATAATAGGGAAGGAGTGTGACTTCAATAAACAAAAGAAATTCGTCATTTACTAGCCTTATAATACCTACGAAATTACTACGCTTACTATTATTACGAAATTACTCATCCAGCTTGGGCTCAAATCGTACACAGTACATTCGCCTAGCATCGTGCGAAATCGTTTCCTCGTATACACCAGCAATCTGGAGATACAAACTAAAACGTACAACACGATTATCCATTCTTTGGCCATCAATCCGAACTTATTCCCCGCCGAACTTGCAAACAAAAGGCAGCTACTAACGCACTGTGGCTCACTCGGCAAGGCGGTGTGGCTCGCAGGGAGATTGCGGTGGGCGTGCGTGCAAGGGGGGCATACCAGCTGTATGCCGGTATGTAGCTGTATGCCGGGTCAAAGGTTATCTCGCCGAGTGTTGCGTCGATGTCCAATCTCCCAGCGAGCCACACTGCCTTGCCGAGTGAGCGTGCGTTAGTAGCTGCCTTTTGTTTGCAGGTTCGACGGGGAATACATTCGGATTGATGGCCAACGAATGGATAATCGTGTCGTACGTTTTAGTCTGTATCTCCGGATTGCTGGTGTATACGAGGAAACGATTTCGCACGATGCTAGGCGAATGTACTATGTACGATTTGAGCTCAAGTTGGATGAGTTACGCGTAGTAAATCGTAGGTATTATAAGGCTAGTAAATGACGAATTTCCCTTGTTTATTGAAGTCACACTCCTTCCCTATTATCTACTCCTGAAGATATGACACTGCTGGTATATATCCAATAATTGAAATGAAAAACTTCCACAACAATCGTTTACACTTTCTTATAACAAATACCTAGTGAGCAAGGAAAAACAGTAACAAACAGAACCTATTAGTATCACTATGCAGAGTTTCTTCCGAGGAAAAATTAGACAACGGAGGTAATGGCCAGTTTGGGGGAAAAACGCGCATAATGGATTCAAATGCGTGTTTGCGCGTCTCGAGGACCTAGCAAAGCGAGCACCGCAGGAGCTCGCCCAGCTAGGGGCGCCCGGGGGCGGGTAAATACAGGAACATTTTCACAACAACGATGTTAAATTTGACAATGGCGGTGCGCCACTGTGCCTCTTATGTAGAAGAAACCCTACTATGTATTGTGTGCTATAAGCATCTTTCGTAATCGCATATGATTGCGATTTCAGCTATGCTACATGCAGAGCACACGACCAGTAATGTTCCACTTTTGCTATTTTGTCCACACACAGTTATGGGTTTAAATTAAGGTTTGGATAAAGGTTAAGGATATGGTTTTGGTCAAGCATTAGGCAGCACATGACTTAGTTGAGAAGCATGGTGGTTCCTGACTACACATTGTACCAACACAGCTAATACGAACTTTGTGCACAGCAAGCTTATAAGATTTTAGATGTCACATGCCGTAAAAAGTTTACCTGAGAAAGAGTACACCCAGCACGTCCATACTGACAAGTACCACAGAAAAATTGGAATCTCCAATAGCCATAAAAATATCCTTGCGCATGTAAGTGTCAACCTCTGGAAACTTGGTTAAATAAATGTGAAATTTGACGCAAGAGTAATGGAAGCGAGTCCGAGACTATATACGCAGCTCTAGCCATGATTTCTCAACGACTCTCATTCCTTCGCACTCTATTGACTAGAGTCTATGTCAGTGCTACAGTCCAGGCAGACAACACATACAATATATATATATATATATGGATTTATATTGTATGTATGTATACGGCAAGCAAACCACGTTTTCGTCTTACACCCCAAATTAATGCTGATAGGGTCTATGTCTCCCTGGGTGCTGCCGGACCGTACCCTGGGTACGGTCCGGTATACCGGAACGTACCCTGGTAACTATCTGATATGGTTAGGGTTAGGGAGTAGGCGTAGGCGACTCCCTAGACTCGTTAGTGGAGTAGGCGAGGTACGTTCCGGCATATTAGATAGTACCAGGGTACGTTCCGGTATACCGGACCGTACCCAGGGTACGTTCCGGCAGTACCCATGGAGACATAGACCCTGGCAGCCAAATTAATGCGGCTGTATAACAATACTACGATCACGGCTGTTATGTTTAGTATACTGTAATACATTCGTATCTGTACTACTCTCATCAAAAGTCATACTACCGTCATGCTGATATTATTATTAGGACTGTGAATGTGGTGAAATGCTACATCTGAGAGACATTCATTGATCATTCGACGTCTATCATTCTGTGATGATGATGTTATTGTTAATGACGAAATTGATTAGCAATTTATGACAGATGGAGAACATTTACATATAGTATACGTGTATTTGGTCACCAAAATTAAACGTAACACAATTATATGGTAAATAACAAGTAGGAATCGTGACTTTGCAAAGAAAAATGGCCGACAACTTCACAAAACGAAAGACGAACAATGGAAACAAGTTTTGAACTTCAAACTACATATTCGTGACAAAATTAGTTAAAATACCCACATATTACATACCAAAATTCTTGTTTTTCAGATTCTGAGATCACTCTGTACTTTATTCTTCTTAATTTTGCGAACTTCCTACCTGATTTTGATGCAAAAGGACTCTTTCTTTTCGGAGCAAGAGAGACCCTGTTGATTTCCTGCGGGTGCCAACTTTCTCCTGGGTGGTAGAAAACGTGGATGCAAATAGCATCCTTACTTTAGCTAATAGCTATGCAATAGCTGCTGTTAAACACATTTATTTCCCAAACATGTTATTAAATTAGTGCTTAATAACAATCATGTAAATTTATCAGATATTACTTTATTTAATGAATCAGAAAATATTGATGAGTACTTGTTTACATGCCCATATTTTTGCAGATTTGATAGTGAGACGAGCGCCACCTTGTGGTACATTACAATCAGAATTTTGCTGTGAATTTTTCCCGGGAATAATCAAACACTGCTGTAATTTTGTTAGTGCTGTTGTATCTTTTTAATATCATAGTTCAGTAAGGTTTACCTAAACGATGATCGACATGACTTGTTGAGAACGCTGTGTTGATTTCCTTACGCATCATAAAATTTATAATTCTAGGCACAGCCACAGGCACACGAAGTTGACAAACGCCGCTGTAGCCAGGCGTAGCCTGTACACTGTACACAAACACAGCCAGTGTCACTGTGTAGTGTACAAGAACTGTAGCGTACACAAGAATGTAATTTAGAGTTTGTTGTTTGTGCACAGCGGCGTTCGTGTGGTGTTGTGTGTTGCAGAGAAGCGTTTGAACAGTATTTACAGGAAATTACCAGCATTTTAGCGTAAAGAAACATCAAGACTTTGGTAGCAAACAGGGAAAAAAATATAATTTATTTTCCGGGGGCTACTTTTCAAGCTCGCGCGTATGAAAATAGCACTCTAAAATTTGGTTTGCATTGAACTCTATGCAAATTTACGGGGGCTCCTTTTGGCATTTCCGGGGCTCTTTTTGGCATTTCGGGGGCTAAATCGCCCCGAGCCCCCGTGTATTTTTTTCACTGGTAGCAAATACATTTCGTGTTTATTTATCATCATTGTATTATTGCAACGTTCCAAGTGCCTGTGACCGTAGGGCGTAGGGGCTTACTCTACTGTCAGCAGGATCAAGTCCACCCCGCTCACACTACAGCACACGCGCGCACACACACCCCCACACGCATGCATGCACGTGTGTGCGCACACACACACATACCCACACTCTCACACACACACACACACACACACACACACACACACACACACACACACACACACACACACACACACACAAACCCAGGCAGTAGGCAGTGTCATATGATGACACTGTAACTAGCAGAGTTCTTAGAAAGCTTCTTGCAATGTAGCCACAAGTTACCTTCTCGCTTAACAGTACGTTGGCATGTAACAGCCGTGTAACAGTCGTAGAGCTTGGTCGGTTTAGTTGCAATGCTGATTGGCTAGAGGTACACGTCAATAACACATGGAGGATGGGTTAATTCACACTGGAATGGGAGTGGCACGTATTCTCCACTTTCATTGCTAGACATAGATAGCCACTATACTGCCTCTCCTTTGGTTTTTCTCATGATCTACTGGTTTTTAACTGTATCTTCTTGGGGTTTTTTTCAGAGTAGTAGTACTGGTTGCTAGGAAAAGTGAAGTACACAAGATGACACAACTTCCACTTTCAATTTAATAAAAGAATTGCTCCTTGTGAAAAGTGGGACAACACCATACAAGTTACGAGTGACCAGACTATGGCAGAGAAGCGACCAAATTCTTCTCCCTTGGCTGGAATGCCCGTGAAGAAAGTGGCATTAGATCTAAATGAAAGCCGAAGCTTTACTATTTCGGAAGTTGGTGATTTCCTGTCTGATAACGGCCTAGGTCATTTGTCTGCAGCGTTTATCCGTACGTATTTGAATTAGCTACAGCAGCATGACAACTATTTTCACATACTATTTTGATATTTCACTGTGGTTTATCCGTACTGTCATTGTACAAAGGTACTAACTCTAAAGAGATCTGTCTTAAGGTCTATTGGTTTAGAAGTAGGTGCATGTTCTCATTGTTCTGATCGACTACCATAGCACATTGAATATGCAAATAACAGCAAAAAGCATGTACATTAACAGCAAAACTGGCTTTATCTTTCTTGTGTCCACAGACTTGCATTTCGATATGTAGCCAATTACAATCGTCAATGTTATTGCTAATTGCTATTGCTTAATACAGCCAGAAGAATGTCGGCATCTCTATTCTAGTTGTCCTACACAGAGAGGAACATTGATGTCTTTTGTGCAGTAAATGTAACATTGGAATTGACAAACTATTTTGAAAGTAATCCTACACGTTTTATTACAATTACATGGTTACTTAAAATGTGTGTGTGTGTGTTTTCTTCTTCAGAAAATCACATTGATGGATCTATTCTCTCTCGTTTAACAAACGAAGATCTAAAAGATATGGGAATCACGTATGTACCACATGGCAATGCTAGTATACCTGTTTGTCCGGACCTTTATTAATTCTTATTCTCAGAGTATCCATGATAATTGAATCAGATCTAGTCTATGACTAATATATCTCTTTCTAAGGGTTTGCTTCATGGTTAAATCAGGCAACGATTGCTCTGTGTTCACGCAGAGCTGTTGGAGATCGGCTGAAGGCCATGCAACTCTTACAGCCGGGACAGGACAACGGAGTTTACACAGCCCGGACAGATGGGAAGCCTTCCTCGTTAATAGACAACCTGAAGGTACACAAACGACTGATAATAGAGCAGTCATCAAAGAAGCCAACTTGTAGCTAACTGCATAGTATTACATTCATGTATATAAACAAATGTATATGTAGATATGTGTGTGCATGCATGTAAGTGTGTGTATAGAATGGGTCAACCTGTAAGTACCAGCTACTCGAGGGATATTTTGCAGTCTGGCATAAAAATGCCCCAAGGCACACTTCTAGTGACATCTCGATGTGCGCGCATTTGTTTTGCGATCGTGACGGCCACAGGTGTCAGCACCGTCTCCGTGTTTCAGGTGTTCAACGATCCGATACATGGCCACATAGAGCTGCATCCGGTCTGTGTGAAGATCATCGATACTCCACAGTTCCAGCGGCTCAGGCATCTCAAGCAGCTCGGCGGCACCTACTATGTCTTTCCTGGAGCTTCGCATAACCGATTCGAGCATTCCCTCGGGTGTGTCACATTTGAACGGCATTTACAGGAAATTATCGGGCGAAAGAGAGTAGAGAGACATTGAGACTTTCGTACTAAATACATTTCGTGTTTATTTAGCATTATTTTTTTTATTGAAACGCTCTAAGTGCCTGTGGGGTGTGTAGGCAACGTGCAAGTAATCCGTAGCAAAACCCTTTGTCGTTACTGTTGAGATTCGGGGCATAGCGATGTAACACTGACTGGGATGCCTGTGCAACATTTCTGTCAGTCATCATTTTGCGCGTGGCTAAACTAAAGTGAGCGGGGATATTATTTCCTTTTTTATGTCCGGCACAGTAACTCTCTATTAATTCATATTCTCAGAGTATCCATGATAATTGAGTAAGTTCGAGTCTATAACTAATATATCTCTTTCTAAGTGTTTGCTTTCTGGTTAATTCAGACAATGATTGCTTTGTGATTGATTTGCTCATCGATTGACCTTGTCAATTCCCGACAGCGTGTGCTACTTGGCCGGAGAGCTAGCTAGAAAGTTGAGGTGCCGACAACCGGGCCTGCAGATATCTGAGCTGGACATCCTGTGCGTGCAGATTGCCGGTCTCTGCCACGACCTAGGTGAGCAGCTTGTCACAGCGCTAAATCTCACCAGCTCAGGTTGACACATACGTGTCAACTACGCGCAACTCTAGGATGAATGACTTCTTATCGCGATATCCCACGATCATGCATAAGGCCAAAACAAAATATATGTGTGGTTACCGTTACATGCCGGAAAAAAATAGGGTAGGTGGGTAAGGAAAACATTTTATTTTCTTGAAATATTTTATTTACGAACGATGTCCGAAGGATGTGCGTTGTGCCTTGAAACAGAAACTGTCCAAATCCAAAAAAAAAATATTTTCATTTTTAAATTTTTTTTTTTACTTTAAAGAAAATTGACAATTAAAATGTTTAGGGTCGCTGGGAATAAATAGAGTCGGTCGGGAAACCGTAACCACACCTATATTTTGTTTTGGCCTAAGGGCACAATTTTGATAAAATCTACACGATTTATCTTGATTCTCGACCGTTACTTACCTGTACGAGATTAGACTTATTAGTGTGGTTTTCTTTCTACACCAGTGCTTCCTAACCTTTTTAAGTCATGAACCCCTTTGAGAATCTGGTGAAAGCTACAGACCCCTCCCCAGAAAATTGCACATAAGCACATAAACACGCAATTTTGCATGCACCTGGTTCACGGACCCCCTGCAGCCCATCCACGGACCTCTTTCTACACTGTGGATATTCGACTGACGATTAAAATGATCTTCTGCATTATATGCCTGCTACTTCTACAGACCAATAAAGAACTCACAAGCTTTTGAACTTCCCAACTTTCCTTACTCCCCTTCTCTCACTACACACACAAATGGTTGGTATGTTAAGGCCCTTCTCCCCAAACTACGTATGTCCTCTTTAATTACCTCCGCAACGGAGTTGCAGGGAGGTAATGTGACCCCTCTCGTGTGATGTTGATGTTCGTGTGTGTGTTCGTGTGTGTGTGTAGCCAGCAGCGAGGCAGCTGTTATACGCTGTAGCGTTGGCGCGATCGATTCAGCACCAGCTGGCCTTAGAACGTCCAGGCAGCAGCAGCTCGCCTTAGAACGTCCAGGCAGCAGCAGCAGCGAGCCAGCTGTTATACACATGTATACATGTTACACGCTCGCGGAGGTATGCACTCGCTTTGAGTGCCCTCTGTCTAGTTGCTGTATGCATTGTGCTATGTATTTCAGGTCACGGTCCTTTCTCCCACTTGTTTGATGCCAAGTTCATACGCAAGCTCCTTCCCGATCGGAAGTGGACCGTGAGTTCTAATTCGCTTTCTCATGATGTACCATTTGCAATGCTTGCAGAAGCTGTTGTTGTACTTGTAACACACAGTCACTCTTGTAAGATGTTGTGATCAAACGCAATTAATCGTGGTAGAGCGATGGCAGTTAGATATTTTGTGTCGTAAATCTGTGCCCTATATTTCTACACACTGCATAAGACCAATTTTTTTCAGTTACCTACCATTTTGGTGAGTAGGTTCATGGAGTCATTGGTCACAAAGTTATGCGAACGACTACATATTTAGTAAATTGTTGTTTTATACATTAAGTTTTAAAAGTTAAAAACGAGTTGCTACCTATCTTTTGTAGTTTTAAAGAAAGCTAGATTTAACTGTTCGTATGTTTTCTTCAAGATCTTTAACAGATTTGTATTAAAAAAAACAGTGACCATTCTGGTGAGTAAACAATAGCGAAACACAGTTTACACTCACCATTGACAATTAGGCAAGTTATCATGTTTACATATGTCCATATATATTGTCGGTGTCCTGATTCTCAGCATTTCAACCAGTTTTACTTGCAAAATCGTCCCAATCACACTCATCGTGTCTCTAATAATGCTAAAGAGCAACACATGTACTATAGTACTGTGGTGATGTGGTTTGTGCAGAATGCAATAGAAACAAAGAATTGTTTGTGTTTCTTGTAGCATGAGCAGGGCTCAGTCGCTATGTTCAAGCATCTAGTTGAGGTTAATGGCTTGAAGGAGGAGTTCAACCAATACGGTCTCGACGACAGAGACATAACGTTCATCACAGAACAGATAGCTGGACCCGTGGCGAAAACTGGCAAGGTAGGTGTGCACCAATGTCCGAGTGAGGTTATTCTATGTTTTCATTCAGTTGGTGTGAGTCTGCTGGGTAGTCTTGTGTTGATTTGTTGTACTGAAATTTGAAATGTTCGTATTTGATTTGGCAGTGGTCATATGAAGGCAGAGATGAAAACAAGAGCTTTTTGTATGAGGTGAGCAATCCTAAACATATAAAAATAAAAATAATCAACTACACATATATATATATATAATATCAAGAGCAGATAAAGAAGCTTCTTTATCTGCTCTTGATAATATATATAATCACATATATTAATTATATGCATCTATGCGTATATAAATGAACGATTATGGTCATGAAGTAACTGCATTTAAAAAAGACTCGCTTGTGCATTCCATGCATCAGATTATTCGGAGCGTTTCTTTTATAGATTGTAGCAAACAAGCGCAATAGCATTGATGTTGACAAGTGGGACTACTTTGCACGTGACTGCTACCACCTTGGCATCGGCAACAACTTTGACCACTCGAGGGTGATGAAGTTTGCACGTGTTCTTGAATGCGATGGAGAGAAACAGATCTGCATGAGAGACAAGGTGACCCTCACAATCGATATCCTACCTGATGTTTGTATGGACGTATAGCGTAACGCTGGCGTATATCGTGGGTTATTCGTGTGTTCGTGAGTCGTATGGCGTATGGCGTATGTCGCTGGCGGAGGTATGCACTCTCCGTGAGTGCACTCTGTCTAGTTTTATAATGTATCTATTGTTTTTATATTACATTCAGTGTTTGTATAATACACCCATTGTTTATATAATACACCAATTGTTTGTATAATACATCCATTGTTTGTATAATACATCCATTGTTTGTATAATAAATCAATTGTTTGTATAATACACACATTGTTTGTACAATACGTCCATTATTTGTATAATAAGTTGTTTGTATGATACCTTAGTTGCTTCTATGATACAACTGCTGTTTATGTTGGGTCTGTTGTTTCTATGATTTACATGTCCACTGCATGAGTCATCTGTCGTCTGCATTACATACATAACATCTCTCAAAACCAGGGAAAACCTTTCTTTTTTTTCATGGGAGTCTTTTTCAAGTCTGTGGGAAAAATAGCTCTCGTCAAAAATTTTACGGGAGCTATTTTGAGCCTCACGGGAGCGATTTCGGAGGTTTGAAGAGCGAATCGCTCATCGCTCCCGTGTATTTTTTACCCTGCTCAAAACGCTGTCAACTTTCAGTAATTGTAAATTAATTTTAAACAGGAGGTGACTAATATCTATGACATGTTCCACACGAGGAACGCGCTTCATCGCCGTGCCTACCAGCACTCTGTTTGCCAGTGTGTCGAAGCCATGGTCACAGAGGCATTTTTCAAGGCCAACGATCATCTCAGGTACAAACAATTTCTCGGTTTGCAGAAAGAGGTTAGAAGCCGGGGTTACGAAAACGTATTCCCTACTGTTTCCATAAGGCCATAATAAAAATATTGTTTGTTTGCCCTCACCCGACCGACCCGCCAAAAAGGGGCCGACTCAAACATTTTTATTGATCTTTTCCATTCATTTTTTTTACAAATTGTATTACTGTACACTATATAAATCTGTAGGCAATACATTATATGTACCAAGCAAAACAAACATTCAACATAAAAGGTATCTCCACACAAGCACACCCGAGCATGTAGACACCATGCTGAATTTGTAAAAAGACCCCCCTCGTAAAAAATTTTTAACTTTTTAGCCTGGGTCGGGTGAGGGCAAACAAATTTTTTTTAAATTGTGGCCTAACTAGATTTGTTTTCCAGTGCAGGGCTGTTAGCCCTGCCACCCACTACTGCCTTATGTGCCATCTAGGCGCTTACGAGGGATAAGATGCACTACTAGATAAATATATATTAAATCACTAGTTAGATATGTAAGAACTGCTTGTTTCTAGCTCAATTGGCCTTGTCTATCATTACCATATGTTAAAGTTCTGTAAATCTATATTTGACATTTTTACACATGCATGTATCTTCCTCCAAAAATATACGCCAGTACTCATATCAAGTGAAAGCCCTCGTCGAACATTGTCTGGCTTGTCACGAAAATCATTCTCCGTCGATATCGTATCGATCGTATCGATTACAAAAACAATTCTCAGCCGATATCATATCGAACATATCGATTACAAAAACAATTCTCAGCCGATATCATATCGAACATGTCAATCATATCAGCCACAAAGATCATATCAGAGGTAGATAATGACAAATGGGTAGGACAGAGGAAAAATGTGACAGAAAATGGGACAGAAAGGGGACAAATGGGTAGTACAGGGTTAGATAATGACATTGTCATTGTCATTGACATTGTCATTATCTACCCCTGATCATATCAATCATCATCGGAGTGCACGCGTGGTCTGACTCAGGGTATTAGCCAGGAATGAGTATTGTGAGTGCAGAAAAAATATTTGGGAGTACAATTTTTTTGTGTCTCAGAGTAGGCGGTCTTCGTGAACGCCATAGGCGTTCACGGGGGGGAGAGAGTATGAGAGGGGGTCCTCCCAATTAAATTAAAAAATTTTTTTGGCCTTGCAGTTTCAAAACTGACCGTGCAAATCACGGCTGCACGGCTCGCTGGCTAATACGTTGGTCTGATTTCAGGTTCAGGGGTCGGGGCGGCCGTCTGGTGCGCATGTCCGAGGCGATCGACGACATGGAGGCGTTCACGAAGCTGACCGACCACGTCTACCAGCAGATCCTGTACTCGGACGAGGCCGAGCTGCGGCCGGCGCGCGACATACTGGAGCGCATCGTTCGCAGGCAGCTGTACAAGTGCGTCGGGCAGACGCAGCCGCTGCCGCGGGAGGCGCTGAATGACGTCGCTGTGAGTAGCTGGCATCGCGCGTGCGTGAGTGTGGGTGTGTGAGTGCGTGTGAACGCGTGTGAGTGTGTGCGTGAGTGTGGGCGTGTGAGTGCGTGTAAACGTGTGTGAGTGTGTGCGTGTGAACGTGTGTGTGTGTGAGTGTGTGTGTGTGTGTGTGTGAGTGTGTGCGTGAGTGTGGGCGTGTGAGTGCGTGTAAACGTGTGTGAGTGTGTGAGTGTGTGCATGAGAGCGCGTGTGTGTGTAAGCATGTGTGAGCGTCTGTGAGTGTGTGTGTGAGGGCGTGTGTGCGTGTGAGAGAGGGCGTGTGAGTGCGTGTGAACGCGTGTAAACGTGTGTGAGTGTGTGCATGAGAGCATGTGTGTGTGTAAGCATGTGTGAGCGTCTGTGAGTGTGTGGTTGTGTGAGCGTGCGTGCGTGTGAGCGTGCGTGTGAGCGTGTGTGCATGAGTGTGTGTGGGCGTGTGAGCGTGTGTGAGCATGTGTGGTGCTCGAGTCCACGAGCGTTCAACAATGCCCCGCTAAACCTGCCTTCAAGCGAACATTAATTCATTTTTTATATTTTTTATTCATCAACCATGGTGAATCGTGTTGATTTTGATTTCATAGTGTTAAATAGAAAAGAAATCTGTGTGAGAAAGACATTGGACGATGTGTCTCCGGTGGATGGAGATACACGTTAGGTTGTCCATGATTATAGGCCACATGTAGGCTTCGTCAAGTGTAACCTTAGTGACAGCTGTATGTATTCGTATTTAGGTGAGAGATGAGATCGTTACGGCACTTACTAAAGAAGAACTAGTGAAAGAGATGAGACAGGATGGCTTTACAGACGTGGATGTTGATTGTGAACTCCCCTTAGCAGAGAGCCTTGTAGTTCAGGTATGTTCTACCAGGTGGCGCCATATACTGAAATGGATGCCTGCAGAGCACAAGAGGGTCATTGTGTGTGATATTGAGATTGGCACCTTTGTAGCGTGTAAATACGATGCCGCCTCAAGATTCATCTCACGTGCCTCAACATCTGTCTCACACACATCAACGTCCATCTCACACACCTTAACATCTGTCTCATATGCCTCAACATCTGCCTCACACACCTTAACATCTGTCTCATATGCCTCACATGCCTCCACACCCATGTCATATGCCTCACCATCCATCTCACATGCCTCCACATCCATGTCACATGCCTCACCATCCATCTCACATGCCTCCACATCCATCTCACATGCCTCACCATCCATCTCACATGCCTCCACATCCATCTCACATGCCTCACATCCACTCAGCTGCGCTCACCACCATCCATCTCACATGCCTCCACATCCATCTCACATGCTTGCATTGTTGCAGATAACTGTTTTCAGTTACGGAATGCAGGATAAGAATCCGATAGACCATGTCCGCTTCTATTCAAAAAAGGACCCTGCGGTGGCCGTGCAAGTGCGCAAAGAACAGGTATGAGAATATGCTATATGGGTAGTGTTGTCAATCGGTTGTAATTTTGTAATCGATCATCGGTTGGACCCAAGTAACCGATGATCGGTTACTCGGGGTGGTGAATGCCTGCGTGTGCGTAACGTCGTGTGCATGTATGTGCTTGTTTAGCCCTGTTTACTGTTTGTTTTGCACTGTTTACTACTGTGTGTATAATACATGTATGTTAATAAAGGATAACTTGTATAGTAGTGATGATATCTCTGATTCTCATCACTTTTCCAAGTTTTACATTTATTTCAATTTTTTTTTGTGTGTGATGAAATCGATTATGGATGTTGATAACCAAGCGCTTGGTACGAGCCACTGTTCAACCGATGATCGAGTATAATCGATGATCGTGACATCACTATATATGGGTATAGGCATATTATGATATAATAGGAGCTGATGAAGTAAGTGTCAACTAAAGACAAGGGAGAGTTAGATGGGTGGAGACAGACACTTGCTTTTCAGCAACGGCCTATCCTTTGGTTGAGCCCAGTCACACTGTGGCTCTAATTTTCTACGTTACCCTACGTAGGTATCACACATGCTGCCGGAAACATTCGCAGAGCAGTGGGTGCGGGTGTGGTGTAAGACAACCGATGTGCGAAGCTTAGCAATCGCCGAGAAATGCTTCCAGGCCTGGTGCAGGAAGAAACAACTCGACTACAAGGTCAGTCTTTCACAGATTGGTGTTTTCTCCCTTTCACTATCTGACACTCACTTGCTCTCGCTCCCTCACACTCCTCCTCTCTTTCTCACTTCCCCTCTCTTTCTCTCTTGCTCTCTCTCTTTCTCACTTCCCCTCTCTTTCTCTCTTGCTCTCTCTTTCTTTCTCTCTCTCTCTCTCTGTCTTTCTGTATGTGTATGTGTGTGCGTGCATGTATGTGTGTGTGTGTGTGTGTGTCTGTGTGTGTGTGCGTGCGTGCGTGTGTTTGCATGCATGTGTGTACATGTGTGCGTGCGTGTGCGTGTAGGATGGGTGGTTGCTGCTGGTTTATCATATTTGTTCTGTAGAGATTAAGTGGCCTTATATGTGACATCACACATTCTTGTGGTTCATTTTCAGCCGGGTGATCTCACGGATGTCGAGTTGACACCGTACAAGACTGCCAACCAGTACACAGGAGTTACACCTCGAAAGACCAGACTGGCCTTCTAGAGAGCAACAAAGTTAGTAAAGGTGATTTGTACTTCATCTTCAAATGGTTGGATCTATCACTCACAAGAGTTACCGAGCATGGAATTGTTTGTAACAGATGAAAATGTACCCTGTATCAAGAAGAAACATTGTAACAGTGCAATCGATTCAAAAAAATGCATACATATTACAGGAGTCTATCAATATTGATAGACTCCTGATATTATAGCATTTACTGCCAAGTACAGAAGTATACTATTCTAAGTTAGCAAGTTACATTATATAGTGAAATATGAGTGTAATGATAAGTTGTGATTTATTAGTGCCAACAAATTTTCATTGTTATTGTCTTGCATACACCTTGATAAATATGCCTAGCACAGAGTAGCTTTTACATACCATTTTTTTTACATATGAATGTGGATTTGTGGTATGTTAGTATTGACCACGAGGAAATATGCAACTCTGATAATGTTATCGCTGTAAATTCACTTTTTGATGCAGATGCTGAAATTATTTTTGTGAAATTATTAAAAAAATTGTACCTATCTGTAGGTATATCAAGCATTTACAACCATTTAGGTGGAAAGGAAAGTTTTGCACGTTACATTTGTCTTGTTTAAATCCATGTGGTCAATGGATTTTTTATGCATTTGTTCTTTATATAATTAATACACTGTATTGGAATCATTGTTTTATTATGGATTTATGGTGATGAAAGGACTTATTTTAAATTTTCTACTAATATATGTTCCCTACTATTATTATGAATGAATATGTATTGGATACAGTAAATATGTACTGTTCTACAAAGAGAAGCGTCGTGTATAATCTCAATATATTATATATAATAATACTGAAACAGTTGTATAAAAAAAACAATCTTCTCTGTTTATTGTTACACTTAGCCACATGAACAACATCAGCGTCACACCAGAAAACAGTCATGGTGCATAATATGAAACGGGTACAAATAGATGCTATACTACATGCTATACGACTGCGTACTGCTGTCATAGTTTTCCTCTCACGTTCACCCTGGCCCACTCGTCATACTGGAACGTCAGCCTGTCCATCCGATCAATGTAAAGCTTTCCGTCTAAGTGGTCCATCTCGTGCTGAACGATGCGCGCGGCCCAGCCACTCACGCACCACGTGAACGGTTCACCGTCTGCGTCGTACGCTGAAAACAGTAAGACATCCTCATACAATAAGCCTTTCAAATTGCTGCTAGATTGTAGATATGGTATTTGACCTATCTGCCTGCCACGATTAACAGGCAGCCCTAGTCAATCGTTGTGATAGGATATTCTAAAAACAATGCTCAGCCACAAAGTGTGGCAAAGTCTATATTTTGGAATGCGCGCACAGAAAAAATCCGTAAACTGGATAGCAAAATCGAATGCGCAAATATCTAGACGACAACAACCCAGCGATGCGCTCGCCGGCGCCACCTACCGGACACCTCGACCTCGCGGAACCTCGGCACTTGGGCGCTGAACCCGGCGACGCTGAGGCAGCCCTCGTTGAACACGAGGCGCGTCTCGTCGACGACTCGCATCGTCGGGTTGACGAGGACGCGTAGCGGCACGAGCGTCTGCTCGCGGCGCGCCCGCATCGCCGGCGCGTAGTTCTCGAGGTGCTGCTGCGTGAACTCGACGACGAACACGCGGCGGCCGACGCCGAGCTGCGTCGCGGACAGCCCGACGGCGCGCGTGCGCCTCAGCCCCGCGACCAGCGCGACGATCAACCGCTGCACCTCCATCGATTTAATTCGATTGACGTCGACTTCGATCGCCGGCGACCTCAGTACGGGGTCGCCGACCTGGCAGACGTGCTGGTAGGGAGGCTTGAGTGCCGCCGCAGCCGGCCACAGTCGCTGGTAGAAGCCGAGGAGCTTCTGGCCTATGGAGTGTCGACGTTGCTGGCACTGGTGAGACGGCGACAGAGTGGTGTTGAGTTTCGCTCTGCAGCTCGTAAGCACACATCGGGTTACTGCAGCCCGAAGAGACATCCTATATAGCTGGAACAATGAATCAATCCCCGCACTTATCAATAACAAGTGTCGCGGAGCGACAGCGCTCATCTAACGTCTACTGCGGTGACNTTCCCTATCAAATCCATACAGACCAAGGACCCGATTTTGAATCCCGACTATTCCAGGGCGTCTGTAAACTTCTGCAAATTACCAAAACCCGGACCACACCCTACCACCCACGATCAGACGGACTAGTGGAAAGGTTTAATCGGACATTGCAGCAAATGCTATCGAAGTTTGTTAATCAGTACAGGGATGATTGGGATGAGCATCTCCCGTTCGTGATGATGGCCTAGGGACCCCCACCTGGCCCGCAGCAGAATACCAGATGCCCACACGAATACGTCCAGTGGATACGAGAGGTAATGACTGAAGCATATGACTTTGCCCGCTTGTCTCTAAGGCAAGCTGCGCAAAGACAAAAGCGAGGGTACGACAAAAACGTCAAACCCTTACCCTTAGAGACCGGCCAATTCGTCTGGTACTGGTATCCACCAGGAATCCGAAGAAAGCTGGGTCATGGCTGGCGGGGACCCTATTTGATCATTAAGAAAATGAGCGAGTTGCTATGCGTTATTCAGGAGGGGCCGCACACAAACAGGCGGGTAGTGCACGTGGATTATCTAAAACCCTATGAAGCAGAGGAATCACCACTAGATTGGAGGCTACCAAGAACGGAGGAACCACCATTAACGCCCCAGAGGGAGGAGACTCAAGGAACGGAGCGGGACATCGACACTGAGGGAGGACAAGGAGAAGAAGAGGACATCCCTGAACCACTTGACCTGCCATGGCCAGAGGATAGGGGGGACCCTTCTGATAGCGAGACCCCCGAGGATCACTGGGCTGAGGGCCCACCCACCGAAAGGGGGGAGGGACGCAATCAGGAGTACCCAGGGCTGCCGCCAATAGAGGGGCCCACGGTGAGAAGAGGAGGGCGCACGAGGAAACCTCCTCTGCGAATGGACCTGTAAGGGGGGAGGACATACCACTATCCGAGAGGGGCAGCACTAACTCAATTTTGGAAAACATTTCAGGATGAACGAGCCACAATTCGAAATTTATGCGGAGTCAGACGACACGTTGCAGGGAAACCCGCCAACGCAACGACCCCGTCTCACAGGCGTGCGAAGGCCCGAGACGTCCAGAGGCCGGGTACAGCCACGGAGAGGCTGGCCGTACAACGGAGTGGGACGACCTTGGAACTCCAGACCCACACCACGAAGGGAAACCCCTTCGGGAGTCCCCGTGGCCAACCGAAGGAGCCAGGCAACCTTCGGACTGCCCCGCCAAGTGAGGGACCAGGACCAACCGTCAGTGGCACTCGGGAGCCAGGAAAGGAGGCAATCGGGGAGAAGCAGGGAAGAAGAGGAGAGGGACCGAAGGGAAAGGAACGAGAGGATCAGACTTGAGAGGAGAACGCGATTTGAGAGGGAGGAAGAGGAGAAGAGAAAGAGAGAACGGGAAGAGGCCAAGCAGATAGCCCAGCGCCAACGTCATGAGGAAGCTCGAAGGAGTTGGACTTCTTCCCAGAGGGAGGCAGAGGAGCACCCCGAACTGGAGGAAGTACTCACCATGCCAGTCCGGCCCTTCGCCTGGGAAGTGGGCGCCATAGTGAGCCCTCTGCCGACCACCCCACCACCCAGCACGGCCGCCGACATCGCCCGAAGCCCCGTTCCCGCTGCCCCACAACCCAGCACCACCGCCGACGTCGCCCAGAACCCCATACCCGTCGCACCGAAGGCCAGCACCGCCACCCGCATCGCCAGGAGCACTCAGCGCCTCGTGGAAATGCGCCGGGAATGGAGAAAGCTAATGCTCCGGGTTGAGGAGGAGGAGCGACACCTCGCGGAATTACTCACGATCGAGAAGAGGGAGCAGGAGGAGCAGAGGACAAAGTGGGAGAAGGTCAGGCGGGAGGAAGGGGTGTGGGAAAAAGAGAAAGCCGCGTTGCAGAAAGAGGTGGAGGAGCTGAGGAAGGACAAGGAAAGGTGGTGTGCCATTCAACCGGTCACAGCTGGCGAGATAGTCCGGCAGCTAAAAAGGCAGTATCGCGCCACCGGGAGCCGAACCTCAGGAGCGGCCTTAGACCAGGACCTCCTGCTAAGCTCTAGTCCGGAAGAGATGTCATCGGACGAGGAACTGTAAGGAACCTAAATCGGAATCCTTCCCCGGTATGGCCTGCACCAGGCGATAGATAGAAACCTACGGGTATAACCGACTGTTTGTTTTTTTTATTTTTATAAAACGTGATAAAGATATATAACCATATCCCGTTGAAATATTTATTGTTAAAAAGCATATATATCCACTTCCCGTTGAAATATTTGTTGTTCAAAAGTCTATATAACCCTTGTCCCGTTGAAGTATTTATTGTTAAGAAACCTATATAACCTGTTTCCGTTGAAACATTTATATCTATATATAACCTGATACCCTTGAGATTTTTTTGGTGTAGTTGTAGAACTCGTAAATAAATCAGTATTATCTTTTCAAACAACTCTTCATCGCATAAATTACGGAGGAGAAGCCAAAAAGGGTAATCCGCATCCGAGGGCGGATGCTAGAGGAAGAAAGGGGGAGTGTAGAGATTTCGGTTACACCGAACACTATTTCAAACCACAACACACGACAGGGCGCGGCCATTTTGGAATAACTAAAAACCTGGATCGAAAGACCAGGTGACACCAAAATTCCACTTAAGAAGTCAATATGCACAATTAAATAAAGGAAAGGTCAAGCTATAATAAAATACAGGTTAAAAGGATAACTTGACCGAAGTGATTGACGTCACGGTGGCATGGACACGAACCTACTGGTTCTACACAATCATATTGCTCTGCGTACATTAACTGCTGTCGTGTTTTGTACCGATTGTAACCATCATTCTGAGAGTCATTATTGCAGTTTTTATTAGATTTCCAAAGGATGGAAGTGAAAAGCAACGGAAAAAAAAATAAATAAATTAACAACAACAAAATTACAAAAAAAATTTACAAAAATTTTTTATTTTTTTAATTCATTAAATATTTGTAAGATCGACTTGCTACCGATGCTTTACCGCTGTCGCAGCGCACACACTCGTGTCTTACGTACGCACACAACATTTTCACGCAGTTAATGTTATGGAGCCAGTGGTTTGTAGAAACCAGCCCGTACGTTGTCTTGCCAACGTGACGTCACACTTCGGTACTCTGCTCGGTCGGGGTGACTGCTGCTAATCTAGATACTGTGTTTAGGGTTAGAGTTAGGGTTAGGGTTAGGGTACACTTCTGTAGTACAAGTCTGGTACACTTTGTGTATACATATATGTACCTCGGGTACATATATGTAGTACCTGATACGACAACGACCTCTTCAGCCTTAGTAACATCATACGAGCTCATTTGATTTGTTACTGTGAGATTTTGCTAGATTTTTTTTACTGTTCAAGGCCAAGACACACTTCAGCGATAAGGACCAACCGTAACGTTTGAGCGTCAAAATCGCAGCGACTGGCCCAGCCACACTGCAGCCAGAGCATATCAATCAACGTTGATATAAGTGCTCTGCTGCAGCGTTAAAGACTAAGCCCCTAGTGTTCGTCTGCTTTTTCGCTACGCAGTGGCGGACATAAACAAGCGACGAAAATCCTTTTGCTGTTGCTGTTTTGTCAATTTTCCTAAATTTAACAACTTGTATAGTTCTCACCTGTTATTAGGCTGAAGCCGATCCAGAAACTGTAGCAGATTGTCATATTTCCCATATCATATAAAACAGAATTTCCCTGAACGCCTAGCAAGACAGCAACGCAGGCAAATTTTGTTGTCACGTGCCGATGAAAGCATTACCTACGTCTGTGATTGGCTATTTATGAAATGTCGCGCGACTACGTCGCTGGAAATTAGAAACGATTCTAAATATTTCAGTCGTCACGGTTATCGCCGCACGTTATCGCATGGGTGTGCAACAGCTCATTGGAAACAATAGTTTCTAATTTTCTGAAGTGTCGTCAAACGTTACGGTTGGTCATTATCGCTGCAGTAGGCCTACGTGCTTCCACTGTTCTCGCCTATCTATACTCTAGTTCGCGCCGTTCGCGATGCGCTGTTAGTGTTAGTGACACTTGTTGCAGCGACGGTACTATTGCCTTTACAACCCAACAGCCTTCGAAAGGCTTTCTTGAATTCCTGGTTCGATGCGTGATAGAGGAACGGATTGATGGTCGAGTTGGTGTAAGACAGATAGAAGATACCGGAGTAGAGTGCGGGAGAGATAGAGTCCGGACTTACTGCACTGATATCGAATACGAAGTGAAATGGCACCCAACAGATGGCGTAACCGGCGAGTATGTAGGTGAGCATGTGAAACACGCGTCGCTCCTTTATCTGCTTGCGCTGTTCTAGCTGCGTCGCCCTGCCCCCTGGCGGCGGCGGCGGCGGCTGCCCCTCCCGCTGGGTCGCATTACTGTCGGCTGCCGTACTCGCGACGGAAGAGACGACCGATATCGTCATCGGCGTCGGCGCTGCGTTGGTGTCGCCGCCGTTGCCGCCGTTAGAGGTGCTTGCTGGATCATTATGAGGCACGGATAATGAGTGCATGGGGCGCGGGTTGGTGACGGCGACGCCGACACGCGCTCGCCGACGCATGACGGTGATGATGCATGCGTAGCTGACGACGAGCACGACGTCGGGCAGGTGATGGCCGAGCACGGCGACGACGACGACGAACTCGCGGTTGTTCGACGGCTCCCAGATGCAGACGTGCGGCTGCGAGTAGCGCACGCGGTCGAGCACGCACGGCGGCAGCCAGATGACGATCATCACCAGCCAGATGATGCAGATGGCGACGGCCACCTTCGATATGTTGTGCATGCGCTGGTAGTAGATCGGCCAGCTCACTGACCACAGGCGGTCAATCGAGATCGCGACGAGGGTGAAAACGGACACGAACGTCAAGCCGTAGTCGAGAAACACCCACACGCCGCACATCACCTCGCCGAAGGGCCAGTAGCCGAACACCACGTCAACCGAGTAGAAGGTCATCACCGTTAATCCGACGAGAAAGTCGGTGACGGCCAGGTTGAGTACGTAGTAGTTGAAGGTCGTCTGCATGTGTTTGTCGGTGCGGATGGCGATGATGACAAGCAGGTTGCCAACGATGGTCGTGGTGACGATGACGAAGAGGACACAGGCGAGCAGGATGTTCTGCCATGTTCCGACGAACGCCGGCGGAACGAATCCCTCGCTACTACTGCTGCTGCTGTTGCTGTTGCTGCTGTTGTTGCTGTTGTTCATTGTTGACGATGCCGCTGCGATGTTGTTGTTGTTGTTGTTGTTGTTGTTGTTGTTGTTGTTGTTGTTGTTGTTGTTGTTGTTGTTGTTGTTCTATCTGTGACGTCGGCGGCGACCTGCAATAGACAACGATCCGTCAGACGACGTGAGCTCGGTATTATGCATGACGTGTGTATAGCCGGGACTGTGAGTGGGCTGCTGCTAATCTAGATACTGGTATAGAGTACCGAAGTGATGACGTCACGGTGGCATGACAACGAACCTACTGGTTCTACACAATCA